CTCCCTATGAAAGTCGACCACTCCCCCCCCCTCCCCTCCCCCCTCCCCTCGATTGACCGTGATTGCGCGACCGCCCTGCATGCGGCTGCAACACGCGAACTTTTCTTGCAATTTGCCCGAAGGTGCTCTTCTTCTTCCTCCTCTCCTTCCTCTTTTTCCCTTCTTTCTTTCTCTTCTTTTCCTCTTCTTCCTCAACCGGGTTCGGAGTTTGTCGAATTGTGTCCACAAGGCAAAAATACATTTAATAGAAAAAAAAACTATTCCAAAGAAAAGATTATTAATTTATTGTTTTGTGTTTAGTGTTGTGCTGGAAAGGCCGTGCTCTGACGACCATAAATCATAACAAAATGATCATGATGAGGTCGTTTTGTTATTGTTTATGGTCGTGTTGATTTTCTTGGTTATAGTGATAAATGTCCTGGCTAAAGTTTTGTTGATAACGGCAAAAACGGACGAAGTAGCATATCGCAACCTTTTATTATAACAGTAAACCTAATAGACATAATTCACCAAAATGCTGACAAACAGACTAATATAACAACACTAAAAAAACACCAAAGACCCGATTTACAACGGCAGGTCACCCCCCCCCTCGCTCGCCCCCGCCGCCCGTAATCCGGAAGAGGAGACTACGGGCGTAAATGTTTTAGCGTTGGCCGCGAGAGGCGCCGCGACCCCCCCCTTGACACGAAATTTGGGGAAACGGCTGCTTTTTTTCCTAGTGTGATAGTATTTTTATTTTACTGTGTGTTTGTTTATTTTTATTCGTCTATTTTTATTTTGTTAACATTTTTTATTATCGTTGTTATCGTTATTGTTATTGTAATTGTTCTTATTGGTATTATTATTATTGATATTATTACTTTTTATTAATACTATAGCCATTACTATGACTATTGCAGTTACTGTTGCTGTTACTTTTACTATTACTATCATCATCATTATCATTTATTATTGACGATTAATTGCCTGGGTTCGCCAGATCGAGCTCTGTGCCAGTGAGGAGGACCCAGATTCAGTGTTTGTTTGTTTGTCGTGAAATCCGAACCGCTGTCTCCGCAATCTCACGTGGGAACCGTGGTTATGAACCGCGATGAACTTATCACGTGTTACGGCGACTCCCATGTGTTCGCGCGCCCCAGTTCGACAGGTGGGCGAGGGATGGGCGGGGAATCCGGCAGGTGGGTTGGGTTAGGGCGGGTGGGTGGGTTCGGAGGTGGATGCTGGGTTATGCTTGTTCTACTTGTGTTGTTGTCGTTGGTCTTGTGTTTTTGTTGTTATTGTTGTTGTTGTTGTTGTTTTTCGTAGTTTCGCAGTCAGCCAACTTTCTCGGACGTCGGTGTGAAAGTCTACGGTTCCAGCCCGCCGTGTTTCGATTGGTGTTCTACCCGGTTATCTTTGTATTTTTCTAAGCTGTTGCCTGTCTTTATGTTTCTTTTGTTGTTTGTTATATTGTATGTCCGTAGTATATGCCTACCGTGTTGTATTCCATGAAACATTTTCCTGTGAAGTTGGATCTCACAAAGCTGTGGATTTTTTCATATCTCAAAACTGATGACTGTTATATGTCACAAAGCTATTGTTTCTTATGCTTTATCTAAATACGCTGTTGCCTATTATGCTGCATCTCGCAATGCCGCTGTATCATTATTGTATCTGTCAAAGCTATAGTTTTGTATGATGCACCTCGCCAACGTTGGCCTATTGTGCTGCATCTCTAAGCTACTCTCCGTTACGCTTTACATCAGTGAGCATCTCACAAGACAAGAGTGCTCCCAGTTGTGCTTGTTTACAGCGTCTGAACTCAGAAGTGTGTCAGCGAGATGCATAGAGGACAAGCGAGCGACTATACATGACGCGACAGATGGCGTCCCGAGGCATAAGGAGGCGCGCATATCTATTTTCGCTCCGCTGGTCAAGTTCCATATTCAGATGAGTTTCCTTTATCGTGTTTACAGGATGACATTTCCTTCTGTTCCATTTGTCCGAGAGTGGGGCCTGATGACGGGGTTTGGAGATGTATGATTGCTTGATTGTGTAACTGTATGACTGGAGGGAGTGATGTAGTTTGATGATATGATGTTCGTTGTTATGATTGCTATGATGGTTTTAATATCTTTATGTGTATTATGATGATGATATGATAATGTAATGATATGATTAGCGGTATTTTTGTCTTCTTTTATATCTTTACAATCAATATTATAATATAACATCCGCATTATGTCTGCGTGCGTTGGTATGTGCGTGTGTAAGATCAGCCTGCAGAGGAGGAACGATAAATAGGTTAGTGTTTACGGAGAGACAGCGTCACCTGGGAAGAGGCAAGCAAAGCCGGATGACCGCTTTCGAGGCATTGATTAGCAGGGGAGAAAGTATCGACGGCGCCGAATGAGAAGCGATCGGCCGCCCTCTGATCAGCCGGGGCAGGGACGGCGCGGGGCTCGGCGGGGCTCGGCGGGGCTCGGCGGGGCTTGATGGGACGCTCAGCCCACGGCGGTCACTTACGGACGGGAAGGGAAGCTCTGTGGGGAGGGAGGGAGGAGAAGAGGGAGAGGGAGGAGAATAGGGAGAGGGAGAGGGTGGGTTACTTTTATCATAGGCTTTTCATTTCTGCTTGAGAGGCGTTTTTTTATTGCCAGAATTTCAAAGTATAAATGATGACAAAAACATTTATGATTCTCTCTCTCTCTCTCTCTCTCTCTCTCTCTCTCTCTCTCTCTCTCTCTCTCTCTCTCTCTCTCTCTCTCCTCTCTCTTCTTCTCTCTTTCTCTCTCTCTCTCTCTCTCTTCTCTTTCCTCTCTCCCTCCTCCCTCCCCCCTCCTCTCCGTCTCTCCTTCCCTCGCTCCCTCTGTTTTATTGTTTTTCTCCGAGCAACGAAAAAGAATCGGGTCCTCCTTATGGGCTTCGAGACCCGGGTGCGACGCGCTCGGTCTCCGCGCCGCGTGCCCCGGAGGCTTCGTCGCCGTCGCCATAAGTCAAGGCGCCTCGCCCTCTGTTTTGCATTGCTTCCTCCCCTGGTTGGGGCTCGGGATTGTGACCCGGAGTTTCGAGGTTCTGTTGAAATAAGTTTATAGTTGAGGATGGTATTGCGGTGTAAGGAAAGGCTCGTGTTTGTATAAAAGGCTCGGTGTTTTGGAGCGGTTTGGATGAGCGGGAGATGGCCTGGAGAACAGGAACCGTCCGGAGGTTGTGCATGTTTGCTTTGCACTCGTTCGGATTATTCTATTTTTTTCGGAGGTCCTGCCATGCATACGAATGAGTTTGGGTACGACTTATAACATTTATTTTTAGTTCACGCTTCAGGATATAGTATATTAACTGTAGTGATACGTGTGCGTAAAAATCCAGACAGTGCAAGGTTTTATGATGCGTAAAGTTTATTTTACGCTTGTAATCCTTGATTCGGTTGCCCCGTCGCCTTGCCATGTGTGTGTGCGCGTTCGTGTGTGTGTCTGTGTGTTTGCGAGCCAATTCTACACAAACATACATGCGCGCGCGTGCACACACACACACGCACGTTGTTTACATTTCTAACTTTGACAGCTAACTGTGACAGATGTATATCAACGCCAAGAAATTTGTTTTTCTGTCGCCTCGCGAAGAACTGCTCACACGGTTTTTTACCCGAGTGTCCTGTCCATGATCACCTCCTCCCCTCATCCTTTGTTTCTTTGTCTGTTTCTCCTTGTGATAGCAAAGACATTTCCTTGGTCGAGACAAAGACAACTTCACCAGCGATATAAACGCCTGCAAAAGGTCACTCACTCTCACTCGCTGACCCGCTCGGCTCTCGGGGAAGTGGAACAGGAAGATGAATGAAGCGAGAATCATGAACTGAGTATTGTGTGATTTTGAGGCTAAAGCGATAATATATGTAGAGGCTCAGGGGTCTAATTCACGACACTTTTTATATTTATTTTGTTTTTTTCATATTTTTTTCTTTTATTTGTGTATTTATTGTTTGATTACTTATCGAAGAGGGAGGCTGTGAATGGGTAGTTGTCACTTGACTCTTTTTAAGTTTTTGTTTTTGTTGTTTTCTTTATTTCTTATTTATTGTTCATTTTGTTCTGTAGATTTATTTTTGTATTGGTTTATATTGACTATATATTTTTTGATGAGGAGAGCTTTTTCTGTGCCACTTTGTTCTATCTAATTATCTTTTTGTTTTTTGTATGTATTTGTTATATTGTTTTTTATTGTTTATTTATTCATTTATCGATTTATTTGACGTGATATAAGTTTTCACGGATCTAAACACTGAGAGTGGGGGGAGGTAGGGATGGGGGGAGGTAGGGATGGGGGGGGAGTATGCCTTATCACGAGTCTTGACAAGGTCTTTCGCGCCTTCGATGACGTCATCCGGGTTGACATGGCTTGGGCTGCGCTGCTTGGCCTCTGATGTTTGTGTTTGCGTTTGGCGAACAGGATGAACAGCGCCCGTCCTCCCCATTTTCTTCGTCGTCTCCTTCTTCTTCGTCTTATTATTATTATTATAATTATTATTGTTAATGTTATTGTCATTGTTATCATCATCAGTATATTCGTTTTCCTCCTTCCTATTTTTATTCTCCTTCTTCTCCTCTTATTAGGTCTCATCCCCCTCTCTCCTTCCTTTTCTCCTCGTTTTTCTCTTTCTTCTCTCCTCTTCTCCTCCTCCTCCTCTGTCTCCTCATCCTTCTCCTCTTTCACCTCCATCTCCTTTTCTCTTCCTCCTCTTCTTCTTCTCTTTCCTCCTCCTCCTTCTCCTCTTTCTCCTCCTCCTCCTCTTTCCCTCCTCCTCCTTCTCCTCCTCCTCTCTTTCATCTCCTCGCCCACTTCCCGGATCCTTCTCTGCATCACGCTTTACAAGTCATCCTTCTTGCCAACCTGATTGCTCTCAATTACTTATACAACTTAAAGGCGTCGCTTAACAAGCCAATCATCGCCTCCCCTCCACCCCTCCCCTCCCCAGGTCCCCCCCCTTGCAACAGCCGGATTGCAAGTCGTTGAAGCAG